GGGGCAACAGCCAGGCCACCCCTCGCCACCATCTAGCATGGCGCCAAAGCTTTTTAACTCACGCTTCACTCGAGTCTTACTACAGCCTACCATTATTATGCCCTTTTTATAGATAAGAAAACTGAGGCCCAAAGTCACATCGCTAATCAAGGGTCTACTCTAACCAATTAGACCAGTTAATTGGTTGGATCCAGTTTAAAAGGGCAGGTGAGCTCTCTGTGTGCCCTGCACACCTTCCCCCACTCCCCAGAGAAATGTCTTCGCCTTCCCCCATGTGGTTTGAGAGGGGCTACCAAGCACAGCACCTGCTCCCCTAGGCCACAGAGGTGGGCGGGAATGATCACAGGGCCACACCTCTTGACCAGGTGCTTGGCTCAGCAACAGGCACATCACTGAAGCCAACCAATCAGAACCCTTTCCTGAGCTTTCTATGCAACTGTGAGGAAGAGATGTTTTCGCCAGGCTTGCAAGCTGTAACCCTGATGCCATCTACTTGGGGACACATACACCGACTGCTCCTGCCACTCCGATCCCCTGGGACCAAGAGCGAGAATGAGACTCACTGGGTAAAGAGAACAGGCAGGCCTGTGAGCCCCTGAGGCCAGAACCCCTTGACATCTCAACCTCAGGAACCAATCACATCCCTTTGGGACTTGAACCCCTTCCCGCCCCCGCCCAGCATCACCAAGGCCTCCTCCAGCTCCTCTGCGAGGCCCCGTGAGTTCACCCTGGACTTTCTCTAAGGCTTTTGAGAAACACTGGACCCTTTGAGCTGTACCATCCCTTGGTCAAGCCAATTCCCTAAGGTTGCCTTCTCCCACGTACACAGTTGTTACTTCGTTGAGGCATGTGGCATGGGATTGCATCTCCCATGATGCAGCCGTGAGAAGCCTCAGCAGGGAGTTGGGAAGCCTGGGTCCCCTGCTTCCCCCACTTTAAGAAAGTCACTGCCCCTCCCTGGGCCTGATTTGTCACCTGTGAGCGCGACACTGGCTCTAAGTTCTAAATCGGACGGTTCCCCTGGCCCAGAGCATCCTCCTAGAACCTCTGTGAGCTGCCTTCTGGGAACACTGCCCTCCTACAGGGAGGTCAGGGCTCAACAAGGCGGAATGAATGGCTTCTTAAGGACCTAACACAGAGGAGGTGCCCAATAGACGCTTGTTTAATGAATTGATGATAATTATAGTCACACCAGCAGTAACACTGTAACCGCCGGGCCCTGAGCACCGGCTGTGCCGAGGGCTGTGCTGCGGATGAGGTGCCCAAGATGCACAGAAGTGAAGTCACTTGCCTGAGGTCCCAGCGCTGGGACTAACCCCACGCCAGCGATCTTGCCCTTTTATCTGTCCCACGCTGGCTGGTCCCAGGCTCTGAACAGGCTGGGAAACTTGGGGGCGGAGTCCTGGCATCCCACGGGTGGGGTGTGTGCCAAGGAGGGCATTCGTGCGCATTGTTGGGGACTGGGCCTGCGTGTGCCCCGCAGGGGGCTGAACCCGCTCAGAGATGAAGGCTGCGTTGGGTGCCGACTGCTAACACTGACTAGTGTCTATTACATACCAGCTCCCATTCCAAGCACTTGGATAGATGCCACTTGATTCTCTCTCTTTTTTTTTGCTCTCAACCACCCTATGAGGAAGAGACTATTCCCACCCATTTCACAGATGAGAAAACTGAGGCACAGCGAGGTAAGGAGACTTCAATCAAGGTCATGAAGCCAAGAGGTGGCAGGGCTGGTGAGTGAACCCAGGGAGTCCGGCTCCAGAGCAGAGCTCTCCACCTCTGAGGTCAGGGGTGAGGTGGTGTGGGAGCCTGGGGGACCCCTCAGCTCACCTGAAATCGACTCACATACACACACCCTGGGGCCCCGGAGGATTTAATTAGGACTCGGAGGCTGATTAGCTGCTGATAATTAAGGTTTTGTGTTGCTTGCTCTCTTGGTTTCCCTAATGAAGCAGATGGTGACCGAGGGAGGAGACAGCCCCATGCGGGCCCAGCGCCTGCTGCAGACGCTGCCTCCAGAGAAGCACACTTGCCTTTTCCTGGGGCCCAGGGAGCCCTGGAGGCCCGGGACCCCCACATGGAACCCCCAGTGGCGTCCTGGGGCAGGTGGGAACGCAGGCAACATACCTGGACTCAAAATTTCTCTGCTCATCTGAAAGTCAAATTTAACAGGTATCTGGTTTTGTTTATTTGTTTTCTCAACCTGGCAACCCTAATCAGTGTCCACCCAGGCCAGAGCGGAAGCTGGCGCTGGGGGCCCTGTTATGTCAGGGGTCAACTCTCCAGTCGCAGGTTAGTGAAGTCTGAAGGGAGGGGGTCCCCTAGGGGAGGGGAGCGTTCAGGGGCCGAGGCCTGGGCGGTTAGCCTGCCGACCCGGCAGTACTCGCATTTGAACAACCTGTACAACCACACGACGCACCAGGTGGCTAGGAGCCCAGCTCATCCCCGCGCTCGCGGTGTGACCAGGACCGGCCACTGCTCCCCCGTGACCAAGGCCCGACCTTGTCTCTCTGCCTTCCTGGCATGATCTCAGTCTCCCCATTCCACAGAGGGTCAGAGGTAAAGCCACCAGCCTGACACACAGCGAGACCCAGAAAGCCCACCGCCTCGTCCACAGCCCTGCCCCCAGCCTGGCCCCACCCCAAGCCCCACAGTCCAGGCTGGCCCCTGGCTGGTGGCCAGGGCCCGAAGATGCCAGGGAGGGGCCGACCGACCGTGCGATTGTGGGGCTGCGGCTCCGCAGCGTGGATGGGCCGGTTCAGGCTGGGCCGGCCGATATAGACATCCATCGTCTGCGGAAAGGCCTTTAGCAGCTTCAGCAGCGCCCTTGCGTTGACATAGTTGTCATCATCCACGTGGCAGAACCACCTGTGGGGATGGGAGGGGGACAACGAGCTTGGAGGGGGCTTCCCAAGGGCTGCCAGCCGCTGTGCCCCCATAATCTATAATAATCTAAATAATAAAAGCATAATATGCAAATCAACCGAATGGCCAAACAGCAGACAACCCTCCGGACGACCACGCTATGACACCCACTGCCGCCAGGCCAGCCAAGGCAGGTGCGACGTGATTGGTTGGGGGCCCGGCCATTGCCCCATGATCGCCCCAAAGAGGGAGGCCCAGGCCACCGACTGGCAGGCTGCCCCCCTCTGTGGGATGCGAGGGGGCGGGAGGTAGGAGGGGGGCGGGCGATCCATTGCAGAGCCCCGGCCAGGTGGGCAGGGCCTATCTCTTTGGGGCAATGGATCGCAGAGCCCCGTGATCAATTGCCCCAAAGAGGGAAGCCCTGGCTACCCTGCAGTGGTGCTGTGGTGGGTGGGCGGGGCCTCCTTCTGTGGGGTAATGGATGGGGGGTGGGGGGCTCCCAGACTGTGAGAGGGTGCAAGCCAGGCTGAGGGACACACCACCGCGCCCCCCGCCCGCACAAATTTCATGCACCAGGCCTCTAGTCAATCAATGAACAGTTACCTGGTGGGGTGGCTCTGTGCCAGGCAGCATCTGTGTAAGCTCCTGAAGAAGATCTGCCCATTTAACCAGTGGGGACTAAGACACAGAAAGGTTAAGACACTTGCTCCAGGTCACACAGCCAGTGAATGGCAGGATTTGAACCTGGACAATCTGCCCAAAGACAGACCACAGGAGGCCTTACACGACAAAATTCACAGGACCCAGGCGACGTCACTGTTTTGGCACAACACCCTGTTCAGGAAGTGGCCTGAGGCGAAGGTTACACCTGCCCTCAGAGACCCAGACGCACTCACCGCAGTCCACTGGCCAAGAAGGCATCCAGCTCAGCAGCCATCTTGCAGGACAGGGCTGGGTGGCTGTGCTCCGCAGAGCAGTTGGTGACCACTAGGTGGGGCCCTGGAGAAGGGAGGACAAGTGTGAGGCCCCTGCCCGCCTCCTCCCCACAGCTCTGCACACAGGCCCCGAGACAGGGCGGAGCAAGGCCAGTCCACCACTCCCCTTTCACACACGGGGAAACTGAGGCCAGGGAGGGCTGACCTGCCCAGGACCCCATAGCTGACGAACTTGTCCAACACAGCCCCTCCCCACACCCACACCCATTTCCGGGGAAGAAGCTTGCTCTGCTCTGGGGCCGAGGGGAATCCCCACAGGCCAAGAGCAGGCAGCCCTGTTTTCCGGGGACTCCCAGGCCAGGGGCAGCCACCCCCCAGGCCAGGCGGTTACCCAGTCTCTCCTGGAGGCCTTCATCCCGGCTGTCAGTGAAGACAAACGTCTGGGAAGAAGAAGGAAGAGTCAGGATGGGGCTCCGCCAAGGGGAGTGGGAGGCGGGGAGGGGTGCCTGCAGCCCGATGGCCCACCCGTCCAGGTAGATACACACAGCAGACCCCGCTGCTCCTTCAGGGAGGGGCACACACCCTCGCCCGGTCACACTCTTCCTTAGGACAACCTGACCTTCTCAGCGACACCAAACGTCTGGGAAGAAGAAGGAAGAGTCAGGATGGGGCTCCGCCAAGGGGAGTGGGAGGCGGGGAGGGGTGCCTGCAGCCCGATGGCCCACCCGTCCAGGTAGATACGCACAGCAGACCCCGCTGCTCCTTCAGGGAGGGGCACACACCCTCGCCCGGTCACACTCTCCCTTAGGACAACCTGACCTTCTCAGCGACACCCCCGTGCTACACACACACACACACACACAACTGTGGGGGCTAAAGAAATAGTAATACTTTCCCTCCCACCTTCTACCTTCTTCTAGCTGGGCTAGTAGCCAAATTAACAGAGAGAGAATCATAGGAGAAAGTCATAGTTTTAATGCATGTGCATGGGGAATCCACAGAAGCATGAAAGTTCCAAACACAGTGGGGCAGCATTGGGTAGATAAGACATTTTGGAGAAAGGAGAAAGGGGGGAGGCATTAGATTTCAGGAGTGAGAACGGGCCATTTGCAGGTAGTTAGGGAAGAGCAGAGCACACCTGGCAGGAAAACCCTGCAGCTCAACAGCAGCGAGACCGCAGGAGGTGTCTGGCGAACTGTGAAGGTGAAGATTCTTAAGGTGATTGAGCCAAGGCCCCCACCGAAGGCAGGCAGGAAAGGGGGAGGGGCAAGGCCCTCTGGGTCTGCTTCTTCATCAACAGCTTCAAGTCACTGTCCCAAAGAGCAGCCACAGGGTGGCAACACCTTGGTTCCCTCCACAAGCCACCTTCTGCGGACACACAACTTCGCTGTGTGCATCACCCATCCCTCTCACTCACGCGGCCCTTCACAGACCAGCGACCACAGGGACCCTGTCAGTCACACGCCCCTGGCAGAATCACACACTCACACACACACACACACACACAAAACACACAAAACACAACACAGGGTCCCACCTGGCTCCTTCTCAGTCACATATACACAACCCTAAACAGTGTCAGGAGACAGACTGCGTGAAAAGACCCCCAAGCTGGGCTACTGCATCACTTAGGGAGCAGCCACAGCTTCACAGCCACGCAAAACCCCTGTGGAGTGTGGGGGCGCCACGCATCTCAGAAATCCTGCATCCTGCCCCCATGCAGCTCTCCCAGGTGGACAGGCCCCCCACCAGGGCCTTTCACACTCCTGGTCCCAACTAAACATGGAGACCGGTGTTCCGTCTGTCCCCCTCACAGATGGCAAAACTGAGGCGACGTAATGGACCAAGGCGTGTGGCAGTTGGCAAGTGCAGCCGGGATTCGAACCCACAGGCCTGGGGCCACTCCCTACTCCCAAATCCCGGCTACCCCGGGGAAGGCACCTCAGGTCCAGAGCCTCAAGCCCGAGCTCCGAGCTCCCCGGATCTGTACTTTCTCCTGGTCTCCCCATCATTCTGAGATCAACACCTTGGGGTCACTGTGCCTCCTCTCTTTCTCTCACACCCTCCCCCCAATCCAGTCTGTCAGCTAACCTTTACCCTTTAAATGACCCAAGATGCAACTTCTCCCCACCAGCCTCACAGCCCAGGCCTCGCTGCGGTCCAGCCCACCCTCCCTGTCACCTCCTGCCTGCTTTCTGCGTCACCTTTGGCCCGGGCTCCCTGCTCCTCCTGCCCCCAACCCCATGTCTGTTTTCAACACAACCCCCGAGGGAGCCAGTAAATCGGCCAGGCCTTCCCCTGCTCCCTGGCGAACTTTTGCCACCAGATAGTGGAACTCTTCTAGAGTGTGCAGCCTGAGCCAAATGGGCCAGGGAATGTTTGTGGAGGGCGAGGAAGCGGGAATGAAAGGAGGGGTCCCACCGCAGGGCCTGGGGGCTGGGCAGGCGCATGGGAATCCTGAGGTTGGCACAGGGCAGCGGGCAGTGCCCTCTGAGCAAGGGTTGCATTTGATTTGTTTAAAGAGGGGACCCTGACAGTGGCTAAAATCTCGCAGGAAAACAAAGGGACAGGCAGCCTGTTAAGGGGAGGGGAGGGGTGGCTGGAGGGCCATCTGCTCCAGTGGAGGGAAGTGAGGGACCCGAGCTGCTACCCACCCCTCCCCCCCAGCCCCGCCCCAGCCCTGGAGGGGACTGTGGGGAAGAGAAAGGCTCCTCTTGGGTCACAAAACATGCCTCCCCCAGCCCACCCCTTCTGCCTGGGACAAAGGCCGTGCACGAGCCCCAGCCGCTGCCACAAAGGCCCACCTGCCGCCCGGCCGCCCTTAACCAGCTGGGGTGGGCGCCCAGCCCTGGAGTTAACCAGCTCAGGCCAGCTCCCCATGACAGAGCTGCGAGAGGTGCCAAGACCTTCCCGTCCTGTGCAGATGGGGAAACCGAGGGCTGGAAGCGGGAGGGCTTTGCCAAGGTCACAGAGAGAGAGGAGCCAAAGGCTGGAGAGGCAGCAAAAGTGAGTCTCCCTGCCCCCCCTCCTCTTCCTCCGTTTGAGCCTCCTTCCTTTTTTCACCTCTGCCCTGAAAGACAAGATTCGGGACTCCGCCCCTTGCACTGGGGGGCGAGGGCGGGAGTTCTGCTGAGTGAGTCCATCTCCCACCCCTGTTAACTGGGCTCATTTTCCTCGCCTGTGCAATGGGAATATCCAGAGTGTCAGCCAGGGACACTCTCCTCTTACCCCTTGAGTTCTTCTGGCCGGTCCGATAGTTCAAACAGCACATTAACAGGAGAAAATCAAATGTTAATACCTGCACACCGGGAATTCACAGAGGCATGAAAATTCCCCAAATAGGGAGACTTCTGGACTAAGAGGGGGAGGCAGGCAATTCAGTTAGATGAGAAGGTGCAAACATTTGCTAAACAGATTCCTGCAGGGCCACCAGCAATAATGGACACGAAGGGGAATCTAGGGAAGAGCTCTTCACGCGCCCAGGTGGCTGTGCTAAGGCTCCTGCCCTGGACCAGCTTTTTCTCTCCCCGTCTCTTTAGGCACGAAAGACAGGGGTCTGAGCCTCTTCCTGAGTATGTTTCAGCTCGAAACCCTCTACATGCCAGGGTGGCACATTGTGGGGACCCCATAATGGCTACCACGTGGGGTCCTTGGGAGGGTTAGATTGAGTGATGGCTCTGACTCGCGGCCCCTTAGATGCTGAGCGGGTTCTCCCCCTGGCTGCCGGGGTGGCATCTGGGATTGAACTGGGGACACAGAGGGTTGGCTGCTTGCCTCTCCTCTCCCGGCCCGGTCCTGCCAGGCCCAGCTGCCCGGGCTGGAGGCCCAGGACCCTTTCCTACAGCCCAGTGACCAGGCAGCTGTATCCCGGGTCTCGGCAGAGAAGACAGGGCCCTGGCCAAGAGGTGGGGGCTGGTCCCACTGGGCTCGGTCCCCTCAGGCCTTCAGGATGACACACAGGCAAGTACTTCCTCCCCTTGTGCCTCAGTTTCCTCATCCGGGGCAAGGGCACCCCCATGGTGATCCAGACAAGACAGGAAGGGGCCTCAGACCACGTGAGGCCACACTCCCGGGCACACACAGACACAGCGCCATAAACAGGAAGGTCTGCGGGGAGGCCAGGCTCAGCGACTTCCGCCAGTAGAACCAGAACCTCCCCCAGGCGAGAAGCTATGTGTGGCGGGGGGGCGGGGAGCAGGGAAGAGCCTGGGGTGCTGGGGCCCCGTGGGGAAGTGTCAATCCAAGGATCTAGGGCATCAGGGCCAGGAACTTGGGATGGGGGGGATCCTCTCCCCAGGGGGTCCTGGCCTCTTCCAGGCATCACCTGCCCCCATTCTCGGTCCCCAGGAGTCCCCACACCCCTCTGAAGGCTCAGTCACTTCCTTCCCTGAGCCACCGCCAAAGTGGAGACAGCACATGCGTGTGTGTGTGCGTGCGTGTGTGCGTGTGTGTGCATGTGTGTGTAAATCGGCCCCCCACCACCTTCCCCAGAGATGGTTCCCGACACCCAAACCACTGACTTTGCTTGAGGAGGGCGATGGTTGAGGGAAAGGGAAGAACCAGGAGGGACTCAGCTTGTAGAGCCGCCTCTGGGGGAAACAGAAGTCACCCACATGCGTCTTGTCAGCATGTCTAGCACTGACACTGGCTCCACACGTGTCAGTGCACATACATGCGCACTCATGCACACACACACACACAATCCCACATGCTGGGCCGGCCCTACCCCGACCCCTGCCTCAGCCTCCACAGTCACAGCACGTCCCCCTCCTCCCTCCCTCGGAAACTGCCCCACAGGAAATGAGCCAGGGGCTCAGGGCGCTCCCCTGGCACACCCTGGGCACAAAAGTTGTGGGTGCAGGGGCTGCTGGGAATTTTGAGAGGATGCCTCCCATTCCGCCCTCTCCCGACAGGGCCCACCTAGATGGTCCCCTCCTCAGGGGCTCTCCCCTGTTCTCACAGCACCAGGGCCTGCACTGGGGCAGCCTGGCCAGGCTCATGTCAGCCAGGACCCCTTCGAGGCCTCTGCCCCCCCGTCCAACACCCACCCCTGCCCCCAGTGCCAGGCTGGGCAGGAGTGAAGCCAGCACCGGCACTGCCAGGGAATAGAGCAGTGGTTCTCAACCTTCCTAATGCCGCGACCCTTTCATACAGTTCCTCATGGTGTGGTGACGCCCAACCATAAAATTATTTTCATTGCTACTTCATAACTGTAACTTTGCTACTGTTATGAATCGTAACGTAAATATCTGATATGCTATATGTGTTTTCCGATGGTCACAACCCACAGGTTGAGAACCGCTGGAATAGAGGATCCCCAGGAGGGACCCAGAAGCTGGGGCATGAGCCCAGCCTGGCCCCTAAAAGAGACAGAGCAGTGGGCCTGAGGGGTAGCGCGCCCCAGGGCCAGGGAGGGCACAGCCAGGACCTCAGAAGCCCCTGGATCCTGGGAAGAAGGGGGAGTGGGCAGGTGGGGGAGCCGCTCCTCCCCAAGGCTGCCAGGGACCCCAACCCATAGAAAAGCCTTAGAGTCCCGCAGGCCAGGGGCCACTCCTGGGGCCCACAGTCACCAGCGTGTCACCTGTTCCCTGGTCCTGGAGACCCACGTGTCCAGCAGCAGGTCCAGGCGAGAGCGGTGGAAGGCGCGGGTCGTCTTGACAGCGATGTAGACGTCCTGCAGCTGCAGCTCCGGGGGCGGCGGGCTCGGTGGGCTCAGCCCGGGGGTCTCCTGCACGCTCTTCGGGGACCGGCTCACGTGGTAGCGAAGGGAGAGGAGCCCCAAGCACAGGAGGGTGAGGAGGGCGCCTGCCAGGCCCCGGAGGAGCCGGCACTGCATTGGCCCTGGGACCCCAGACAGCTCGGCCCCCAAATCCCAACTGGACGGGGAGGGGCTCCGGCAAAGACAAAAGTCTGGCAGGCATCGGGGGGGCTCCTGGCCCCGCCCCTCCCTCCAGCGCAGCCCAAGGGGCGGGGCCGGCCCATGGGAGCCCCAGAGGTGGCAGCTAAAGAGGCAGCTGAAGGGACAGCCCCATTCCTGCCAGCTGCTGCAGTGGGGGTGGGGGCAACAACAAACCCTCCGTGCCAGAGTAGAAGGGAGGGGCCCTCTGGCCTGCCCACTCCCCAGAGACCGCCCGCTGAGCTCATTCAACACCCATTGTGTTGTGGTGCCCTGCTCTCCAGCCTCCCAGCTTTTGCTCAAGGTTCCTCCTCCTGGACGCTCTCCCCCATCCCCAGCATCCTCACCCATGTTCCCTCCACCAGGCTGAATTCTGTTTGGATTTTAAGGCTCAGCTCAAGGGCTCCCTCCTCCAGGAAGCCTTCTCTGATGCCCTCCCAACTTCCGAGGCTCCCACAGTGGTTGGCTCAGTTCCTTTGGTCTTCACAACAGCACTAGGATGGCTACTCCCAGTTTAGAGCTGAACACATAAGGCACAGAAGGACCTAAAATGGCCCGGGCAGTGTGGCTCGGTGGATGAGCGTTGACCTCTGGACCAGGAGGTCATGGTTTGATTCTTGGTCAGGCCATATGCCCAGGTTGCAGGCTCGACCCTCAGTAGGGGGCGTGCAGGAGGCAGCCAATCAATGATTCTCTCTTACCATTGCTGTTTCTCTCTCTCCCTCTCCCTTCCTCTCTGAAATTAATTCTCCAGCCTCCCAGCTTTTGCTCAAGGTTCCTCCTCCTGGACGCTCTCCCCCATCCCCAGCATCCTCACCCATGTTCCCTCCACCAGGCTGAATTCTGTTTGGATTTTAAGGCTCAGCTCAAGGGCTCCCTCCTCCAGGAAGCCTTCTCTGATGCCCTCCCAACTTCCGAGGCTCCCACAGTGGTTGGCTCAGTCCCTTTGGTCTTCACAACAGCACTAGGATGGCTATTCCGTTTAGAGCTGAACACATAAGGCACAGAAGGATCTAAAATGGCCCGGGCGCTGTGGCTCGGTGGATGAGCGTCGACCTATGGACCAGGAGGTCATGGTTTGACTCTTGGTCAGGCCATATGCCCAGGTTGCAGGCTCAACGCCCAGTAGGGGGCATGCAGGAGGCAGCCAATCAATGATTCTCTCTTACCATTGCTGTTTCTCTCTCTCCCTCTCCCTTCCTCTCTGAAATTAATAAAAATAGTAAAAAAAAAAAAAAGATTGCTTTTCCTTTACACTCTCTCCAGTCCTAATGTAGGGCTGGGCCATAGCAGGCCCAGCTCAGACAGCTCAGTTCACAGCCAGTGGTACTTCCTTATATGTAATTAATAAATATATATTGAGCTGCTATGTGCCAGGCACTGTCCTAGACACTGTAGGTTCGGCGAATAAAAAAGAAGAAATCTCTGCCCTGATGGTCTCAGGAGGAAGATGGGCAATAGGTAAGTAAAATGTAAAGGCGCGGGGAGATGAACGTGCTGTGGAGAGAACATAGTAGAAAGGGGGCCTGGGAAGCAGCTGGAGAGAAGGGATTGGGATTTACTTATTATTTATTTTTTTAATATGTTTTCATTGAATTTTAGAAAGGAAGGGAGAGGGAGAGAGAGAAACATTGATGTGAGAAACATTGATTGGCGGCCTCCTGCACGCACCCCGACTGGGCACTGAACCCACAACCTGGGCATGTGCCCTGACTGGAAATTGAACAGCAACCTGACCTCCCGGTGCATAGGGAGGACACTCAACCAACGGAGCCACATCAGCCCCAGCAGGCTCACAACTTAAATAAAGTGGTCTCGGAAGGCCTCGGGGCGAAGGTGACATTTACCATTTAAGTAAAGACCTGAAGGAAGTAAAGGAGTGAGGCAGGGACCCAGCCCGCAAAAGCAAAAGTCTGGCAGGCATCAGGGACCAACAAGGAGGGGAGAGAGAGAGCTGGGACCAGGAATCGAACCGTGACCTCCTGGTTCACAGGTTGACACTCAACCACTGAGCCACGCCAGCAGGGCTGGAACCAAGCCCTTTGAGTCACCCTACTACGGGCTAGCTCCATGCCAGGCCCCTTCACAGCTCTTCTTCCCAGAACAGCATCACCAGGCTTCCTGCCACACAGACCAGGGTTCAAGTCCTGACTCCGGGCAGGTGACTTCACCTCTCTGAACTTCACTTTCATCATTTATAAAACGAGGACAACGTAAGACTTGGTAAAAAGTAAAGGATTCGCCCTTGCTGGTTTGGCTCAGTGGATAGAGCGTCGGCCTGTGGACTGAAGGGTCCCAGGTTCAATTCCAGTCAAGGGCACATGCCTGGGTTGCGGGCTCTGTTCCCAGTAGGGGATGTGCACCAATCAATGATTCTCTTTCATCATTGATGTTTCTATCTCTCTCTCCCTCTCCCTTTCTCTCTGAAATCAATAAAAATATAAAAAAAAAGTAAAGGATTCGTGGACTCCTTCACCCCATGGGAAGGTCCCCTAACATGGGACCAGGCAAAGGCAGCTGAGCTCCCAGGTTCCCACCTCTTCACCCAGACTCCTGGGTCCTTAGACCATGGACGAGGCACACAGCAAGGGGAGAGGTTCATTCACCCAAATGAGAACGACCCAGTTTCCTCCCCGAAGGAGCCCACAGCCACCCACAGAGGCCCGCCTTCCTGCCACAAGGCAGGGCAGGGCATGGCCAAGGAGAAGCCCCAAGGGCTGAGAGAATCAAGCAGGCTTCATGGAGACGGTGTCTGAGCCAGGCCTCAAAGGACACTAAGAGTTAGGCAGCCCCTGCCCCTGAACATCCCAGCCTCATTTCCTACCACTTCCCAGTGGCCAAACTCAACCCATTTCCTGCCTCTGAGCCTTTGTTCTTGAGATTTTCTCCACCTGGTAACCCACGCCCCCAAAATCTCCCAGGGGCCAGCCCAAGTTCATTACCATTACCGAGAACACAGTCATAGGAGGACCTAGGACAGCACATAGGCATACAAGTCCAATAAATGCTTCCTGAAGAAAGGAGTCACCTCAAACTCAAGTGGCACCTCCTCCAGCAGGCCTGCCGGGGTTTCTCCCAGCGGAGGTGACTGACCTCTCTCTGGAGGAGATCTCAGGGACCCGACTGCACACTGAAGACTTGCTCTTGGTCTCCTGGACTCCGCAGCCAGGCCCTAAAACCCAAGACCACGCTCCGCTGGCTTCCGTATCCCCACCCGAGGGGACACTCCTTTGATGATCAGACACAAGCAGGGCTCACTGTGGGGGTGGCCCATCTGTGGGGCCCTTCTCCGGTCATTCGGGGGCGGGTAAGGTGATGCCAGCACAGATGGCGGGCGGCTCTGGGGATGAGTCAGGAGTGAAATCTGACCCTCCCCAAGGGCAAGAGGGAACCTGAAAGGTGGTATCAAGCTGAGCTGGAGGTGGGGACAAGTGTGCCCCCCACTCCCACCCCCACCCCCACTAGGGATGCAAATAAGCAAAAGGCCACCAACTTCTATGACAAACTGTTTAATGTTCCATAACGTGCAGCTTCTGAGTGAAAAGGGCCCATTCAAACGAGCCGTACATTCTGGTGCCGGAGCAGCCGAGCCCCTCCCCACCTGTCCCTCTGGGAGGCGGCAGGGCAGGGAGGAGGTGCTGTGAGAACATGGTCCTGGGTGTGCTCACCGGGAACACACACGTGTTAAGTGCCCGAGTGTCATGGGGGTGGGGGACATGACATTTACACAGGAGAGAGAACCACGGACACGTGTGTGACCTGAAGACACGAGACGCGGGCACAGGTGACAGTGGACCGGGCAGCTACAATGCCCACATGTGGAGCTATACACAGAAATGTGACTGACGGGGGGGAGTCACAAAGGGCGGGCTCGGGGCTCCTGTGAGCAGAACAGGCTGAGAGCCTGGGAGACCTCGAGTGCCCGGGGGCAGGCAGACAGGAGCCTGCCCGTGAGAACTTGGGTGTACAAAACAGTACACAGTAGTGAGAACCCAGACGCTCAGGTGGGCAGTGACGGAGGGACACAGACCCACGAGTGGGGACCCGGAGACCGGAGGGCTCACAGGAAGGCCCCGAGCGGCAGGTACGGGGCCGGAGGGTGGAAGCTGTCGGAGGGCTCCGGCTCCGGTTCCGGCAGGATCCCTCGGTGACAGCCCGGAGCGGAGCCCGAGGACCTGGGAAGGCTCAGGACAGGGAGGATGTCGCAGGCTCAGCTCCGCCACAGACACCAGGGTCTCCTGGAGGTGTCTGAGTGCACGAGGAAGTCGCCGGCCCCGGAAGGGGCCCTCAGGCCTCGCTGCTGCTGCTGCTGCAGCCCCTGCTGCTGCCTCGCTCCACCCACACGAGGCGGGCCTGCTCCTGCAGGATGCGGCCGCGTACG